AATAATATAAAAAGAAATAAAAAAGGTACATGTGAATTAGCTAATATAATATAAATAGAAATAATATAGATTATTCATATGTATTAGATAAGACAATTTAGATAAATGATTATCACATTCTTTCATCCTGTTTTAATGTAAAATCAACAGCAAAAATAAAATAAAAGAAAATATAAAAGTAATAAAAAGATAAATAAAAATAAATAAAAATAGAAAATATTTTTACATAAAGATTACTGCGGTAAAATTATGTCAACAAGGTGAGAACTGTTACAGGGTATATGAACTATTACCTATTAAAGTAATCAAGTGTGAAGACGTGAACATAAATTCGTCGTCATATTTTTTTTTTATAGATCGTGAGTACCTAAGCGTGATGATGAACTCGTGAACCAATCGTCACTCAAGTGACGACACACATGTGATCTCGTTGTCACATCTGAGCAAAAATAACCTAGACTAAGTAGAAATAACATAATTATGTTATTTCCACTTAGAGACTTTTTTTGTTTAACTCTTGTTACCATACCCTGTCTTTTTAGTACTCTACATATAGTATTAGTACTAACATCAATATTTTCATTTATTTTTAAGGATTTTTGGAGTGCTACAGCTGTTGATGCTTCATTTGTCAATATTCAGCAAATGAGTGTCTGTTCATTTCTCTTACCCAAAATCCTTTTCCATCCTTGGCTTTCTTTATTTTTGACTTTTCCTGTTTCTTCATACTTCTTTTTTAGTTGTAATATAGAAGAGTGGTTAATATTTTCTAGTCTTTTGGCCACTTCTTGTGAGGTAAATCTGACTTGGAGTAGTGTGATCACGTGTTGTCTTTGTTCTAGGGTTAAAGGCATTATTTATTAAAAAAACAAGTGGATTTTTTTAAGCTAATTTAATGAATGTGTTGTAAGAATAAAATTTTCTTATTTGGCTTTTCAGTGGTTATTATTGAAAAAAAAAACTTCACTTAGAAACTTTTCGGTGGAAAAAAAACTGCACCAAAATTTTTTTTATTGTCATTGATCACTGGCCAATCATCATTCAAATCAGGTGATAATGATTTACGGGAGACTATAATTCATTAAAAAATTGATTTTTAACAAGTAAAATATAATAAAAAAATTTAAATATTTTATAAAAATTAATTTTTTTATAGTGGTGCGTTTATTTTGGAAGCCACTGTAGATGCGTTGATAAGAAGAGGTGTTACTTACCTAGTAATGGTTAAGTATGAAGAATCGCAGATTTTAGTAGTGCTATAGAAATTGAACCTAATGCTTATTTGTTGAAAAATAGGGGAGATGCTTATTGCATAATAGGAAAATATGAAGAATCTATTGCAGATTTTAATAAAGCTTTTGAAGTCAATCCTAATAATGATAATATAAATATTCTGAAAAGTAGGGAAAAAGGTTATTACTTAATGGGAAAATATGAAGAATATATTGCAGATTATAATAAAGTTATAGAAATTGAATTTAAACTATCAAATAATATGCAGATTGTATACGATGTTTTGAATCACTAGGTAAAAAACAATGTAACCACTGATCATCTAGTGATAGCTTTTCATATATAGTTTGTAGTTTAACTAACTTATATTATAACATTATATTACATAATTCTTTCCACTAATCATTTTTTGAATAAATTTTTGACATAGTATTCGTTAGTTGTCTATATGACAACTATCCTAAAATAACTATTTTACATTCATTTCTCTTCAATAAAAATATTAGTCATCTCCTCATAATTTTATTTATCTTCTTAGTTCAACAAAATGTGAAGTAAATTATGTTAAAATTATGTATACGTTAGTAATAAAAGGAATATTGAAAATAATTAATAAATTTAAAACTCAGCAAACAGTTATATAAATGATCGTTATCCGTTCACGTGTTCTTCCGGAGTAAAGGATTATTAAAAATAAAATGACGAAAGACTGCTTTTTTTTTGAGTCAATAGTAGTTATTACATTTTAATTTTATTAAAATTTAATTTCAACGTGTGTTGCGCTATGCACATATGGACGAAAGCGTACCTCATGGCAAAACGTCTAAACAAGGAAACTGACAAAGCATTTTATAAGTATAAATTTTCTTTTCAAAAATATCGAAAAATGGTTAAATTCATTTCCGGTTGAAAATATTTGAAAATGATGATCTATTTATTATATATTCAAAAAAATATCTTTTATAACAATGACAATAATTTTTTTTTGTACAATACGTGCTATAAAGGACGATTTTGATGCCTGGAGAGGTCACCACATTTATATTAATTATTAATAGAATAATTAATTATTAATTTAATTATTACTATGTGACTAAATTTGGGAAATTGTTTTCATACTGATTAATCATATTACATTAATATTAATTATGTACCTCACTTTAACGCAATTTTATTTTTACGATTAATCGAATTAATCGAATAAATCAATATAAATAAATTCGCAATTGATAAAAAAAAAATTTAATATTTCTGACGAAAGTAGTATTGATGGTACGATTTCTCCAATAGACTTAATAGACTACATTGATTCTAGAGCATCTCTTCATCCTCGTCTGAACAGGATATAGAAACCATTATTCATGAACAAGAAATAATTGAATCCAGTAATTCACATGCAAAAAGTAAAGTTTGGGATTATTTTACTAAGCCATATGGTCTGCCTAAAAGTCGCAAAGCCAATTGCCATGAATGTGGAAATATATTTTCATATCATGGTTCAACTTCTACATTAAAATACCATTTAGTTCATAGACATAAAATTGACATCTCCACGAATTTAAGCCAAGTGAAAAGACAAACATAACAAATTTCAAGTCAACAATCAAATTTTTCTTCTTATTCTGAATCATCTTTTCTTTCTGAAAACGAAAATAGTTTATTACAATCTGGTACAATTTCTTTTGCAAATAAGAAAAGTAAAGTTTGGGATTATTTTACTGAACCATATGGTTCACCCAATGATAAAAATTGCAAAATAAAATGTCTTAAATGTGAAATGGAATTTTTATATAATGTTTCAACTTTTTCATTGAAATTTCATTTAATTCGCAAGCATAATATTGTTATGTCTAAAAATTTAGGTCACGCAATAGATCAAATTCAAAATCAAAAATTACAAAACTTAAAACAAAAAAATGCAGATATATTAACCGCTGAAGAAGAGTTTTTTACTGTTTTGAAAAAGCTATTAAAAATTATTAGAAATGATGAAGGTAATAAAGAGGCAATAATAATTCGAGGAAAATTTTATCTAAAAATGTGTATAAAGAATCTATTGCAGATTTAAATAAAGTTTTAGAAATTGAACCTAATAATGCAAAAGTGTTAAAAAGTAGGGGAAAAGCTTATAAAAGAATGGGCAAATATGAAGAATTTATTGCAGATTCAAGTAGAGCTTTAGAAATTGAATCTAATAATGTAAATGCATTGATAAGTAGGGGAAAAGCTTGCGCAGAATTAGCAAATATGAAGAATCTCAAATTTAGAAATCGAAACAAAACAAAAACATTATTGCACTCTACAGATTATTAATAAACACGAATTTATTTAAAGACGAACAAGTCTAAAACCAAATTTCTATTAATTATAATTATATAGAGATAATCTTATATACATATACAGTGGTGTGCAAAAAAAATGGCAATTTTTTTAAAAATTGATCATCAAGTGTAACTAACCCAATTTTGGTCGTACATGCATAAATAAACATGCAAATCAAAGCCAAGTACTAGTAAAACCATTTTTTTTAGCATTGAAATGACTTCTTCGAAGCAAGAAACGCAACAAAAAACAATTTTACATTTCTGAAAACAAGGAATACGCGATGCTGCCGAAATCCATTCAAAAACAAAGATTCCACTTAGGACAATTTATAACAACCTTAAAAAAATAAATGCGACTGGTGATGTTAAACGTAAAAGTGGTAGTGGACGCATTAAAAAAATAACACCAAAAGCTTCCCGGTCAATCGGACAGTTTATTCGAAGACAACCCACACTTTCTTCTAAATCTATTGCTAACAAATTAAAGGACATTGGTATAGATGTTACCCGGTCAACAGTTTCAAGGCATCTGACTAGTCTTGGATACCGAAATGCACTCCCACTTGCTACACCAATGCTTACACAAGCCCATAAGCAAAAACGTATCGAATGGGCCCAAAAACGTAAGGATGATGATTGGAAAAAAATTTATTTAGTGACGAAACTTCCTTCCAATTATTCCGTAACATGATAAAGCACTGGTACAAAAATGCAAGGCCAATTCGCCCAATACCAAAGGACCGAAGTAAAATATTCGCATGGGGTG